ACAATAGTCTGTAAGTACAGAATTTTTTTACTGTAAATCATTTGGAAATCATGATTATTCCAATATTCTAATTCTCTTTACGCAAACTTATAGGGCCGCTGCATACAGTCAATTAGGTGAACATGACAAGGCCATAGAAGATGCTATGAAATCTTCACAATTAGACCCTTCTTACAGTAAAGCATATAGCAGACTTGGGTAACGCTATTTATCGAGTTTCAATATTTATTAAAGAATTTTAAATTATTTTGTTCTAACAATTAATACATTCATCTCAATAAAAAGACATGCTTATTTCTCTGTCGGAAAATACCGAGAAGCAGCTGATGCATATGAGAAAGGCCTTTCACTTGACCCAAATAATTCTACTATGAAAACGTCTCTTGCCACCGCTCAACAAAAAGCTAATGAACTATCCAATCAAGGATCGTCGCGAAGTTCTTCCACGCCAGGTGGTGGCGCCGGGCTTGGTGGCATTCCTGGCTTAGCAGGACTTGGTGGTGCTGGTGGTGCTGGTCTCGATTTTGCTTCAATAATGAATAATCCTGCTTTAATGGACATGGCACGTCAAATGATGCAATCAGGAGCATTCAATAACATCATGAATAATCCTAATATTGCTGAGATGTACTAAGCAAATTATATTTTTTAATCGTTATTTATCGTGGCAGCTGATGCTAAAGTTTGCTGATTTTGAAATTTTTTGGAGTCACTATTTAATATACTGAGTCATTTATACTCAGCCACTTTTACTCTTATTAGCAATTCTCTAGTTCTAATTATAACAATACTAGAAAAGAGCACTCAAAAAATTTGAAAATTTAATGTTAAAATAATTTCAATTTCCATTTCAACAATTTTAGCTTTAGCTGCCACAATTATTTATTTGTAAAATTCACTAACAAGGACATCAATCAATGTAGGGCACAAAATATGATGAGAGAAGGTCAGACACCAAATATCAATGAGCTAATGAATAATCCTGAAATAATGAATATGTATGAAATCTACTTAAATTATATCAGTTGCTAGTTAACGTTTACTCATTCTATATATATTGGTTTTATATTTCAAGGGCTCGTCAATTTGTCAATAATCAAAACGGAGGGGATGACACTGAAGCTCCCAGTGGCGATACACAATAAAATCAGTAAATTTTAGTAAATTAAGCATCTCATACAAACGATATAAGTAGATTTACATAACAATCTCATAATTATATTGACTTGTACTTTTTAAACTATTATTACTCATGTTAGTTTATACGCAATATTTTGTTTATTTTGCTTTTCAACTTTGTTGTAATAAAAGTAATGAATCACCATAGACAACTATGGATTAGTAATTTGAGAATTGTCTTTAAAATATCACATTTATACGGTGGTGGATACTTGTTGGCCCCATTTGTTTAAATAAAGATTATCGATAAAGTTTGAGATGGGATTTGGGCGTGGACAAACCCAAACTATAATAGTTTGGGATTTGGCAACAAGTATAGTGGATATATAATTATTAAATTTATGAAGTTTTGTTTTAAACCAGAGTATAATAATGCCTAGTTTGTATCGTTATCGTTATTATTTCAAAAGAACTATATAAAAAGATGCTAGTCAATGTCTCGTAAACCCCACAAGGGTTTTTACTAATTTCTAACTATTGTTATTGCGAAATATAATATCTGACTCGAATCTAATGTAATACAGTATCATTAAAATCAAATTATACATAGCGAAAATAAAACAAACTGCCGGTTTTTTTTCGTTACAAAACCACCTTCGGAGTTTTAGCAAAAAAAAAAAAAAATTTTAAAATGCTATATACGGTGCCATTTTTACCATCAAACCTAATGCTCACACTTGCATAGTGATACAAATCGAAAATCGAATTAAGCCCAACTTAGTCAATTAATCGACTAGTCGATTGGTCGATTAATCAACTGATCATAATGAATGAAATGAAGGGTTTCTATTTGATCCCCTAAAACCCACTTATACTCGTTTATTATAAAACCTGCTTCTAAACCCTAATCCTAAACCTAAAAAAATGCTAAAAAAAATGTATCCCAAAAATTTGTATTTTTTGGTAGCTTGTTTATTTTACACTATCTCTCATTTTATTTTAATCTGATTTCATTTTAATCTGCCACAAAAAATAACAGAAATGAAATTTTACAGTATTACCTGTGCAAATAAGTAAATCTCTTG